CCACCATTTATCTTTTGATTGGCCCTTGAGTTCCCATCTTTTTGCTATTGTGAATAATGCTGTGATAAACAGGTGTTCATATATGTTTGTGCCATGGCTCTTTATTTCTCTAGGATATCTCTAGTAGTGGTATTGCTGGATCATGTGATACCTGTTTCTAACTTGTTAAGCAAACATTCTGTTTTCCATCATGGATGTACCACTTTACAATATCACTAGCAGTGTATGAGAGTTCCAGTCTCCCCACCTATGCCCTCATCAGCATTTGTTGTTTTCTGAGATGTTTTGTTTTTTTTCATCATTGCTGTTGCTGGAGATGATATTGTTGCTTTGACTTGCATCTCTCTAATAGCTAATGATTGCAAACATCTCTTCATATATTTGTTGGCTGCCTGAAAGTCTTTGAAGTTATTCATGTCCTTTGCCCATTTTTAAATTGGATTGTCTGTCTTTTCGTTGTTAAGGTGTTAAGGTTTTCTATAAATTTTAGAGATTAATTCCTTGTCAGGTACGTCATTGCCAAATTTTTTTCCCTAGTCTGTAGATTCTCTTTTTACTCTTTTGGAGGTCTTTGGATGTACATAAGTGTTTAATTTTTAGAGGTCTCCGTCATCTAGTTCATCTTTTTGCTTGTCGATTTTTTGTTACGTTTGATCGACTTAGTTATGCCGTGATTTAGCAACTCTGTTTTTCCTTCTATGATCTTCATGGTTTTAGGTTTTACATTTAGATCTTTGATCCATCTTGAATTAGTTTTTGTGTATGGTATGAGGTATGGATCCTGTTTCATTTTTCTGCAAATAGATATCCAGATTTGCCAGCACCATTTGTTAGAGACTATCTCATCCCCATTTCGTGGATTTCAGCCCTTTGTCAAAGGTCAGCTAGATAGATTTACTTCAGGGCTGTGAGTTCTATTGGGCCGTGTCTATCATTGTACCACTACCACACTATTCACTACCTTGGTAGTAGTAGGTTCTGAGATCAGGAAGCATGAGGCCTCTTGCTTTGTTTTTCTTCAGTAGTGCTTTGCTTATCTCGGGTCTCTTTCCATATTAAGTTGGTGATTAGTTTTTTCATGTCTTTAAAGACTGTTTATGGAATCTAGATCAGGATTGCATTATATCTATAGATAGTTTTGGGTAGTATTGACTTTTTCACAATGTTAAGCCTTCTTATCCTGGTTAATTATTGAACACATTTTAGTCCCTCCTAGGCTTCTGCTAACCAGATGGCTGGCTGGTGGTTCAAACCCACCAGCCACTCCTTGGAAGGAAAATTGGACAGTCTACTTCTGTAGAGATACCACCTTGGAAACCCAAGGAGGGGCCGCTGTGAGTCGATTCGACTTGATGGCAGTGAGTTTGGTTTTGTTTTGAGTTAGGCTTAAAGGGAGAAGATCTGGTGGTGTGTGCTTAAAACATTTGGTTGTGAACCAAACGGTCAGCAGTTTGAACCCACCACCCACTCTGAGAGAATGATGAGGGAGTCTGCTCCCTTAAAGATTTACATACTTGGAAATATGGTGCAATTCTACTCTGTCATGTAGGGTCACTATGAGTCAGAATCAACTTGTTGGCAGTGGGTTTGGTTTTTGGCTTATGCTCAGAGGGCTCAATTAAACTTTTGGATGTCTAAAGTTGGGAGAAATGATTGGTCAAAATGCATGCTCCAATAAACATAGGCTCTGGGTCCTTTGGGACATGAGTGGTTAGGTCTAAGAGGATTTCTCAGAGGAATTGACCCCTTGAGGTTTGCAAGGTGATCAAGGAGGGGAAAAGCATTTTCTAGCATATGAGAGGACAACAGATGTGTGAAGATGGCATATTTGGGGCTTGCAAGTATACACAGAGCATAAATCCCTTTTTAAGGGAGAGAGAAGAAGAAGAGAGGATTGTAAAGATTTTGCATTTTCACTAAGGCAATTATGATAGCCTTTATTTACTGAATGCACTGTGTTGGACATGATTCCAAACGTTTTACTCAACTAAGGTAATCTTCATAATAACCCCATATAGATAGGTACTGTTTTAATATCCCCAACTTTATAGGTAAGAAAACAAGCAAGGAGAACAAGTCAATAAAATGCAGCCAGGGTCTAAATCTTGGTAGTAAAGGGAGGGAGAGGAATTCAAGAATGAAGGAGTGGAGTAATAAATATGCAGTGACAAGTTTCATAAGAGCTGAAAAATCCTCACTGGATTTGGCAGTAGGATCACTAGTGGTTCAACAAGTACAATTTTAACAATCTAATTGTATGTACATATCATATTAAGATGGTTTTAAGAAAGCATAGGAGTTGAAGGAGTTGGATCTACCTTTATCTTGAAAGTTTGTGAAAGGAAACAAACTTCATGGTGTAGTAGACAGACTGGGAGTCAGATCTGGTTTTAAATTCTGGCTGTGCCTTTGTATAATGCTGTGCTAAACTGCCCAAGGAAACCTGTTACCCATAAATGGGACAAAGCACACTTCCCACAGGGTTGTTGTATTAAATTATAGATTAATGTACATGAAATAACTGGAACACTGTAGGTACACTTTAAAATGGTAATTGTTAAGATTGAGGGAGGGTTTGTTTTAAAAGATTAGAATGTTAATAAATTGAAAAGAAGCTACAGGCAAAAGAGGTTGAAAAGTGAAGTCCCTGGTTTCATAGCTAGTGACATGGGCTGTGCTCAGTGCTCACTCCACTCCCCAGATCAGATCCAAGAGAAGTAACATTCCCAGAATATCTAGAGAAGCTTAAAAACCTAAGTCAGTCTTGGAAAGTGGGTGCTAAGGAGGATTTTTACCTTAAATATGCCTTTCAAGCATACTCTTTCACTTAGCCTTTCTTCAAGTCTAGGATGGGGAGTGACTTGGGGAGAGTGTTAGAAATGTGGGTACGTCCAAGCCCCTACAATCCTTTCGTGAGGCAGATGCTACCCGAGGAGCTCTCTGGCAACTCCAGAGCCCTCTCTAGGATTTCTTATCATGTGTGTGCATGATTGTCTCGCGCAATTTCCTGTGCGCGACGATGCGTGTGCGCAGAGGCTTGAAGTGCGTGCGGCCCGTCCTCCCCTCCCGCCTGCGCGGGACACCGCCAGAGAGAAACGTGGCGGGTGCCCAGCGCATGCCGGGGGGCCGCGGGCCCAGGCATCTCTAGCAACGGGCCGCCAGCCTCAAGCTGGGGTGAGAGAGGCTGGGATGGATCAGCCAGTCATCACTACTTCCACTGCTGCTGTAAGGAACGACCTGGGGGCAGGGCGAATGGGTGGTCACAGCCCAGGTACAGCTGGCCTCGCTCTCCGGCCCGCCCTACCTCCTGCTGCTCTAGGCTCTACTACTGCCCTGTCCCAGGCCTGTGCCGGTCTCCCACCTCCCTCGGATCCTGGCCCGTTTGCCTCGGCTCTCCTTTATTCTTCCTGCCTTTCTCTTCCAACCCTAACTTTAACACCTTCTCTTCCTAGTCTTGTTCTCTCCTTCGTTTTATTTTCTTCTCCTTGCTGCCTCCCTTATCCTTTCTCATCACCCTTTGTTTTCTGTATTTTTTTAAATCATCATCATCATCATCACGTCCTCTTCTGTCTCACTACTAGCTCTACCGAACAACTGCTCCAGTAGGATAACAATTCTTTCACTTTCCCCTCTTTTGGGAAGAAAATGGGTTTTCCCTGCCTCTATCAGTCTATCAGATGTGTTTTTGCCAGCCTCCTATTTGAGAATTCATAAAATATTTGAAACTACCCTTTAAAAAAAAATAAAAATAAACCTGGCTGAGGGATATTTAACTTGTCTTCTCTCTTCCCCCTTACAGTAAATGGGAAAATGAGTGTAGTTCGGCAGCTTTGGACAAAATGAAACAGCACTTGCCAGTTACCTTTAGATAGATCATGGTTACTTCTCCCGTTCTTCTGACCTCATTTTCCTGGTTCCTAGGTAGAGATGTGATCATTGTGGAGATGTTTATGACAGACCTGTCTGAGAAAGTTCAATTTCTGTGAATATAAATCTGCAGCAGAGAAGATTCAACATAAATCTAATAAAGGGAATATATAGGAAGAAATTCAGACTTAGCAGTGTGTATGAAACAATGTTTTTCAGAGAAATGCAAATACTTCACAGTAAAATAAAGGCTAGGGCACGCATAAATACAGTGGATTTAAGTTACTTCTTGTTGTTGTTTAAGTTACTAGGCTGGAAAAATTAATTAAATATAAACTACCTAATTAGGTTGTTTATACTTAATACATTCTTGAGATAGCCCATTTTTATTTTTATTTTTTTATTGTGATTTGGGTGAAGATTTACAGAGCAAATTCACTTTCCACACAGCAGTTCACATATACTTTGTCTCGTGTCATTGACCACAGTTCACCACAATGCAACAGCTCCCCTCCCACTTCCTCCCCATAGTTACCTCTTCCCAGTGTCCATCCCTCCATACTCTCCTGCCCCCTGAGCTGTCTCCCTGTGCATAAGCAGCCCTTCTTTCTCCCATGATTGTTCTCTCCATTTACTTGAGGTAAATGTTTAACTCACATACCTGTACTTTGTTTGGCTGGAAACCACAGGTGTGGGTTCAATTCCAGACCTGAAGGGCAGCTAGGGGCCATAGTCTCAGTGGTTCTACCAGGCCCCATCGGACCAGCAAACCTGGTCCCCACCTTTTTTTTTTTCTTTCCTCCAAATGACTTTGAGTTTTGTTCCACATTGTTCTCCCTCTCTATCCAGGATCTCCTACATAGATCCCCTTCCAAGTGAGATAGCCCATTTTTAACAGTAAAAACAGAAGCATTATAAATGAGAGTAGAACTCAATATCTGAATGATTTTACCTGATACTTAAAATGGAAGGCAAATGCTTCCTTGGAAATGAGGAACACTAAAATAATCTTCTGAACTAGGCAAATGAGATATCAAAAATAATGTTGTTGTTACACACAGTCAAGTGGGTTCCACCTCATAGCAACCCTGTGTACAATAGGGTAAAACACTGTCTGGTCCTGTGCCTTCTTCACAACTGATGATGCTATGTTTGAGCCTATTGTTGCAGCCACTGTGTGAGTCAGTCTTGTTGAGAGCCTTCCTCTTTTCGCTGGGCCCTCTGTTTTACCCAGCATAGTGTCCTCCTCCAGGGAGTGATCCCTCCTGACAACATATCCAAAGTACATGAGGAAGTCTTGCCATCCTCGCTTCTAAGGAACGTTCTGGCTGCGCTTCTTCCAAGACAGATTTGTCTGTTCTTCTCACAGTCCATGGTATATTCCATATTTTTCACCAACACAATACTTCAAATATATCAATTCTTTGATCTTCCTTATTCATTGTCCAGCTTTCACATGCATATGAGGCAAATGAAAATACTGTGTCTTGGGTCTGGTGCACCTTAGTCCTCAAAGTATCATGTTTGCTTTTTAACACCTTAAAGAGATCTTTCGCAGCAGATTTGCCTGATTTAATACATTGTTTGATTTCTTAACTGCTGCTTCCATGGCCATTGATTGTGGTCATTCATTCAAGTAAAATGAAATCCTTAACAATTTCAATCTTCTGTTTAACATGATGTTCCCTATTAGTCCAGTTGTGAGGATTTTTTTTTTTAATGTTGAGGTGTAATCCATACTGCAGACTATAATCTTTGATCTTCATCAGTAAGTGCTTCAAGTGCTTTTCATTTTCAGCAAGCAAGGTTTTGTCATCTGCATGTTGCAGTTTGTTACTGAGTCTTCCTCTAATCCTGGTGCTGTGTTCTTCATATAGTCCAGCTTCTCAGATTATTTGCTCATCATAGAAGATGGTGAAAAGATACAACCCTGACACATAACCTTTCCTGATTTTAAACCATGCAGTATCCCCTTGTCTGTTCAAATGATTGCTTCTTGATCCATGTATAAAGTTCCTCATGAACACAAGTGTTCAGGAATTCCCATTCTTCACAATATTATCCATAATTTATGATCTACACAGTCCAGTGCCTTTGCATAGTCAATAAAACACAGGTAAACACGTTTATGATATTCTCTGCTTTCAGCCAAGATCCTTCTGACATCAGGAATGATATCCCTTGTTCCACATCCTCTTCTAAATCCAACTTGAATTTCTGGCAGTTCCTTGTCAATGTAGTGCTACAACCATTTTTTAATTATCTTCAACAAAATTTCACTTGCATATGATATTAATAATGATGTTGTTGTTGTTGGTAGGTGCCATCGAGTTGGCTTGGACTCATAGCGACCCTTTGTACAACAGAAGGAAACAATGCCCGATCCTGTGCCAGCCTCACAGTCCTTGCTATATCTGAGCCCATCGTTGCAGCCACTGTGACAATCCATCTTGTTGAGGGCCTTCCCCTTTTTTGCTAACTCTCCACTTTACCAAGCATGATATCCTTCCCCAGGGACTGGTCCCTTCTGACAACATGACCAAAGTAAGTGAGACAAAGTTTGGCCATTCTTGCTTCCAAAGGGCATTCTGGCTGCACTTTTTCCAGGGCAGATTTGTTCATTCTTTTGACAGTCCATGGTACATTCAGTGTTCTTTGCCAACATCACAACTCAAAAGCATCAACTCTTCTTTGGTCTTCCTTGTTCATTGTCCAGCTCTCACACACTTATTAGGCGATCAAAAATACCATGGCTAGGGTTAGGCACACCTTAGCCTTCAAGAAGACATCTTTGTTCTTCAGCACTTGAAAGAGGTCTTTTGCAGCAGATTTGCCCAGTGCAATATGTCGTCAGAAGTCTTGACTGCTGCTTCCATTGGTGTTAATTGTGGAATCAAGTAATATGAAATCTTTAATGTTTTGATTACCTAGTGCCACTCTGACAGAAATATACCACAATGGGTAGCTTTAACAAACAAGAATTTATTCTCTTACAGTTTGGAGGCTTTATGTCTGAGTTCAAAGTGCCAGACTCTAGGGGGTAGGTGAAAGCCCCTCAACCTTGGGCTTCAGCTTTGCCTCCTGCTCCTGGCCCACTGAAGCTGGAGGCTTTTCTTCACTCAGACAGCTGCTGGCTTCTGAGGCTGAAAAACCCAAGGTTGACAAGTAAAAAGGCACAGTCCCAATGTTAGCAAACAGCATGGCAGGCCACTAATTCAAGTCCATTGAAAGGCCCCAGATCGGCAGAGCACGGCAGGCTGCTGGACAATGACTCGGCTACATGGAGGGTTCAAGCATGCCATAAGCTAGATACCATTCCCAAAGCTGCTGTTTATATACTGGAAGCAGACCACATCCCTAAAGCAGCTATTCAGCTGCTTGTGGTAGATCCCACCATGGAGTTGATGGCTACCAGTATCATCATGGGAAATAACAACCACCAGCTGCCCAGCCACTCAACCAGGCCCAGCCAAGGTGACACACAACCTTAACTATCACATTTAACAACTTTAGTTTTTTTCTCCATTTATTGTAATGCTGCTTATTGGTCAAGTTTTGAGGATTCTTTAATCTTCATCAGTAAGTGCTTCAAGTCATCCTCATTTTCAGCAAAGTTGTGTCATCTGCATATCACGGGTTGTTAATGAGTCTTCCTCCAATCCTGATGCTATGTTTGTCTTCATATAGTCCAGCTTCTCTGATTATTTGCTCAGCATACAGATTCAATAAGCATGATGAAAGGATACAACCCTGACACATTCCCTTCCTGATTTTAAACCATGTGGTATCCCCTTGTTCTGTTCAAATGACTGCCTCCTCATCTATGTCTATGTACAGGTTATTGTTGAGCACAATCAAGTGTTCTGGAATTTCCTTTCTTCTCAATGTTATCCATAATTTGTTATGATCTCCAAAATCAAATGCTTTTGCATAGTCAATAAAGCACAAGTAAACATCTTTCTGGTATTCTTTACTTTCAGCCAAGATCCATTTGACATCAGCTATGATTGTTCCTTGTTCCATGTCCTCTTCTGAATCCAGCTTGCATTTCTGGAAGTTCTCTGTCAATATGCTACTGCAAGCATTTTTTAATTATCCTCAGCAAGATTTTACTTGCATGTGATGATAATGATACTGTTTGATAATTTACACATTCTGTGGGATCACCTTTCTTTGAAATGGGTATAAATATGGATCTTTTCCAGTTAGTTGGCCAGATAGCTGTCTTCCAAA